AAGGCGAAATCCGCCGAAACGTCAGCTTAATCGTGAACAAAGAATAGTGACACCTCGCGTTTGCTCAACAAAAATACGAACAAAACCACTGAAGAAATTTATTTCGAAGGAGGTGGAGCTAAATTCACCTTCACTAACATGTTAAAGAAGAAGCGAGCATTTTTCCGAAACGTCAAACAAACTCAAATAAATGCTGCGAGTCACAGTATATTGTGATAAAGATTTATTATGGTGTGCAAGAAAAAACAAGAAAAGAAATGAAATGAATAGAATAGCGTCATCGTGTGACTGCTATGGTTTCATGGCAGACAAAGGTCTTAAAATCTAAGCAAAAAAAGAAAATGAGCGAACTTCATTCGTTCGTATCATGTCTGAGACGACGTGAAGCGGCAACGACGTCTTCCCATCACGCGTCGATAACATTCTGATGTCTTCATGACATGAATGTCGGTGAGAGAATATTTAACGCAAGAGCTGAATCGGTGAAAATCGAAGGTGAAAACGCGGAAGGCGATAGTACGACTCCGGATAGTACAGTAGGAGACAGAACGTCGGGACAAAGTACGAATGGCGACAGAATTAACGGCGAGAGTACATATGGGTTGATGACGTTGGGTGACAGAACGTATGGAGAGAAGACATACGCATTGAACACAGCTGCTGACAGCACATTTGGACCGAGCACATAAGGAGAAAAGATTAGCGGATTTCCAACCTAAAATATGATAAACTAGGATAAGAATGATGATAAGGAAAAGAATGGAATCTCTAGAGTGAAGGCAGTCTGCAAACCTGTGGCGAAAGCACTGGAGGACTCAGCAGCAGTGGAGAAATGATGCTTGGTGAGAAAAGGCTGGGTGAAAGGGTGACAGGACCGAGTACATTGAGCTAAAAGACTGCGTTATTTTGTATAAGAAATCTACTACTAAAGTGTTTACTTTAGGTTTGGCGGGACAAAATCTGCAAAAGTTTTTCTCGGAAGCTCGCCACTTGTTGCGACTCAAGCTTTCATTGTGAAAGGTAAAGCTTCCTAAAAATTTTTGCAACGATTTTAAAGCTCCTTCATAAAAAATCCGTCTAATAAACATTTTTAATTTTTAGAAGTTTAGTTGCAAACATCATTAACAAGCCATCATTTATAAATTGTTATTAGCGCTAATAGAAAAATGTTCTCAAATGAGATTCACTGGGATCTTTTTTCCTGGGGGGTTTGCACAATATTCTCTTGAATTGTCAAGCTTAAAGTTTTGAGAAAGAGTTTACACAGCGTTACGAAAACCTTACAGCTGTAAAAGTGGGCGCAAATGAGAAAGGTGCCAGAGTGGCGTGTCTGAAATGCCTTATCTCGATGGCCCGTTTACTTCGATAATGGAGCGCTCGGGGATCCTTAGCAAGCAGCCGAATGGTGTTGCGCAACGATTCCTCACGCTCTGACCGACTTAAGGACGAGAACTCGTCGATATTAAACGGAAGATCAGCAACAGTGGTGTTGAAGATTCCTTAACTTAAAAATTTATGTGCACAGTCAACATTTCTTTCCACAATTCGGATATTGTAGAACAAAATTGGAGGCGAAGCTTGCTCACTGATTCTTCTACTCTACTCGTTATACTCACATTCTCCTTGCATAAGAGACGCTGTGGTACACAGTACAGTTATTTTATTATAATTTATATTAGTGCTACATAACTTATCCATCAAAGCCACTAGCATTTGGTAATTCGATGAAATGATACCGAGGTATCAGACAATTTCACCGAAATTCCTTTTCGTAGTTAGGCGTATGAAAATCCATGTGGCCCATGCACAGATGGAGAACAAAAGTTCAAAATGCGTTAGGAGTAACTACGGCACTTTCCATGACGTTGATTTTCAGACTCCGTACCAGTGCTGTTCCACATCGTCTATTACTTTCCATATTTATCTTTATCGAATTCATACACAGGTGTTTGCCTGTCAAGAACACATGGAGATTTACTCTTTCCCATATGAGTTATTATAATACGCATGAAAATACTGGTCGTCCAGGCAATATATAAACTACATAGAGAACAAAAGATAAGGTATTCGATGTCGATGAAATTCTGAGGGATACCCCATACACCCGACTCCATTAACATAGCGTAGACTGATGAGCCCGTAGTCTATGAGCACCGAGTCATTCCAATAGAGCTTGCTCAGTGGTTCATCATCATATCATTGCGAAAGGCTATCTTTGAATGTCGACTCCTTATGTTAAAGCAAAAGCGTTTTTTTCTAATCTACTCCGGCTACACCATCCATGGTGTATAACCTCTTTCAATAGTCCATCCGCTAAATGAGCTCGTCCAGAAAGAACATTTTTTTTCCTTCGTAAACTAGCGTAAAGAAACTTTTTACAAAAAACAACTATTGCGACACTTATGCTGGACAGCATATCAATACAAAACAAGAAATCCGGCTTCAAAAGCCTCAGTGCAGCGAGAGATGGGCACCGATTTCGGTACTCGTGGTTCGGTATGTGTTAAGCATCATTGAAATTAATTGACGCATGTCTGGCTTATACAATGGCTTTTACAAGTTTAGTTACGCATTAAGCGAGCTTTTTGACCTTATCAAGAACTTCTAGTTCCCATTTCCCGATCTTTGAAGAGTGATAAATAAAGGACAAAAAGGATGAAGCTCTCGGCGTTGATCAATCCCTGAGGGATGTGCTATGCATTCGACTTCACTAAGTATCGTTGGAGGTGATTGAATGCAAATCTGGCCTTTACAATGATTCGCGGTAGCCTACCGATGTATCGAGCCAGTGCTGCTATCTTCCCAGACAAGTTTGGTACCAATTTTCCGACCCCATAGGGATGGAAGGTTTGGCGAGCTATGGTCGCGGGGATCGATTCCACGTGTGTTTAGCAGGGCGACTCTAACCACTGCGCCACACGTGCCCTCTGAAGAATGATAGTTTAGTTATTCTGGGCCACAAGATCGAACTAAATGTGCATCTGTTGCAACACTTGTAATCACTGCGTTACACGTGCATACAGTCTGTGTGACCGAATATATTATGCTTAATAAGTAATAAGTTATAACTACGTTGATATTTCCTTTTGGCGGAATAGTACTACGGAAAAGCACTGAGGAGAAATCCATACCAGAAAGAAAATAAACTGATGAAGAATAATAAGAAGTATGGAGTGAAATACAATATAACTCATCAAAATGCGCTTCATACTATTAAACAAACCTTTCTCTCCATATAGTTTTAACATTTGACTCTTCGTAAGAAAAGAATATTGATGTCTGGCAAGTTCTCGCCGTTGAGAAGCTTCGAGACTGTTGGCAAGATCTATGAAAACTTCATCGATTTTTGAAGTAATTGACATGAGATCCATGCCGAGCCCAACTCTTTTCATATTGTTTACAAGATCTATCGCTTCCTCAACAACATCGTTTACACCTAAACTGAATGAATTGTTAAGGGAAACTCTGCCACAGCTTTTCTTTTGACATTTAATCACTATAAGCACTTGTCACCTTGCCGTCTTTTGTTCATTTTCTCAAAAATTCTAGCATCATTCTTCACTATTTTATCGGTCAGAGTGTGAGATGGTTTGAGAGCCTTTTCTGAGTACTTTTTGAAAATGTATCTCAACCCACCAGAAACATCCATGATAAGTTCCAGCACAGAAATTCGGTCTTTTTGACTGAGTCCAGACTTCTCTAACACTTCCGGAATTGGCAGTATAGTGTTATCAGCATCATCTTTGTAGAATGGAAATAGATCTGGTGATAGTAATGATCTGAAATGGCGTATGTAACTTGCCTATACATTGGATTCTTACCAATTGTCTTTATTGAGCCAATGCGAGGTTGGAATAAGTTGTCCTTGGTACAAGTTGGTGACAATTTTGAAGTGACAGCCCGGATCCTAAGGCAAGAATCAAAAAAATCAACGCGTAAGACTCTTGGAGCGTTTTGGATAAATTTCAAATATCCAAAGATGAATTACAAAGACGAATGCCTCACCATCACACGTGACCTGACGCTTTTTTTCAAACTGATTTGTTGAATTGGGTAAGTCTCACTCGTCGTGCTACGTGGAGACAGCTCGTGCTAAGTCTTCATTAATAGTATAGATGTGTCACCGAATTATAAGAGTACTCGTATATAATGCTGAGATATTTGCAAAACTCCGGACCGCAGGTGTATGCGGAAAAGGCAGGAAATAAAAGGCTTAAGATTACAAGAGTACTGTTGCATAAAATACGGCATGCGCTGAGGAAGTCGAAGTCGCCGAAACGCTAGTCCTCCAACAACAATAAGAACAGCGACGATGACTTTTTACCAACATCGCTTCAGCTCAACAACCGCAGTGCAATTCGTGGGAATATACAGGATGTAATTTAGTTTTTGTGAACCATGAACAACTTCTTTTTCTTTTGTAGCCGGCCTGTTTTGATGTGCCAGGACGTAGTTTCAAAAAAACATTAAGAAGCAACTCCAGTTTTCTGGTAGCAATAGAAGTCTGGAAAACTTAAGTGGACCATCTTCACGAGTACTGATACTCCCAACATATCTACCAACCGTAATGTACATGCGCCATAGCTGCTTATGGTTTTGGCCGATCCGTGAATGGTTTCTCGACAAATGCAGCCGGTTAACGAGAGATTCAAACACGTCGGACCATCGCTTAGGTGGCTGTGTTCCAAAAGATGTTTGCGTCCGCTAAGAGACGACTTAACAGTTCTCCCAGTTCACCTGTCCTCTGCTCTTCTAACCATCTCACCTATGTGGATTTTCGTGAATAACTAACACCCTCCTTTAAATCTCTGAAATCCGCAACTCGACTGGACACCACATGTACCGGTTATGTTTTAAAAGGCGTTCGCTCGAGCGCTCTGTGGCCGTGCGCAGAAATTCCGAACTTGTTCAATAAACCTACGTCTCTGTTGTATAAGAGAATACTGTGAGAATCGTTGAGTCAAAAACGTGGGCAGAGTCCTTCGTACAATCCTGAGCAATCGTTTCAAGGAGCTCACAAACCTTCTCCAAAAACGATTCCCAGCCTTTGGGAACCGGAAGGAACCCTTAGCAATGTAGTTTGGCACCCATCTGAAAACTCTTGATGGATAGGAAGAATGCTTGGTTCCAGTCGCGGTTCACGAGCATATGCGTATTGAAGAGAATCTCCACTACCGCGCCAGCTGCTACCAAATCTATTATCTGCACTAATTTTCGAGAAAAAAAACATGTTTTTCTCAATGGATGGTTGCTATTAAAGATGGTGTGGTGACATTTCCTAGCCCAGAGAGACCGTTGACACTGACAAGTGCAGTACAATATTTCATCGTAGGTATACACTGTGCATGCATACGATGGTGTTGTTAGAAGTGAGAGATTTTTTTCTCGTAAGCAAATCTGCCGACATGAACTGGTATCAACTCACGCATGCAGTGAGAAATTAAGAGTCAATTTGACGCGGATGTCATACAAAACTAGGAATCGGGCTGCTGACTGTTAAAGGAGGTCTGAACCTTCCAACAATAAGAATTTAATAGAAAATGCTTCTCTTTGCCGGATATCTCGCTGGAATGTCCTATATATTAGGTGGGATGCTGTTTCAAATTCACTCATACCAGCGCGGTTAGACTCTTACAGTCTCCTTTTTCTAATGGAATACCTTCTTGAGCATTTTGATCAAAAAAGAAGCAAAATTTTTTAAACAAGAAAAAGTTTCCAAAGCTATTCAACATTTGAGAGGTGCCAAACAACTTAGTAGTTACTCCGCATTATAGCCCTGGCCAAGACCTATGCGCTTGCTCTGACTGCAGGTGAATTAAGATAATGGGCTATGTGTCACTGTTTCCACATCCATATACGATTGTGAAAGGGTTTTTGTTTTTATAAGGATTGTACTCTATAGGTCTCCGTCATATGAGGGAACTGAAGCCAGTTAGTCGCAACGCTACATGGTACGTTCTCAGGCGCGGATAGGGGGTGGTTAGTCGCGGACCAAAAGCGACCTTTGCTTCCTTGAGGCGCAGGTTGGTGCAGGGGATTCTAGAAGCGTTACCCTGCCGTGAAAAATTGTTATAAGCAGCAAATAAAAGGTTAACATGTGTTTATATCGTTGAGCTTATACGAGTTTGATAGAGATGTTTCTTCGGCCAACGTTTCGTCGGTTTCGTCTTCATGAGGTCCGACGATCCTTGTCAATGGTCCACAGTTTTTCCTCTTCTTTATATGGTGTCTTCGTCTTGCATCGAACCGGATATTCGTCAGTTGAGCATATTGAATGAACCATACATACGAGTGGACCATCGACAAGACGAAGACGACGAGGTATTAGCCGAATAAGCATCTCCATAAACCTTGTGTGAGCCCAACAATATAAACACATGTTGATTATGCCGAGGTTAAATGATGGTCGGTTTCATAATTAGAAGTGAACGTTGTAAAAGCGTTGAGTTTTTCCTGTCAAAATGGTAATCAGCGGAATCGCCTACCGGTCATTATAGAATTAATGCGCGCATCACTAGTACTTCTTTGAGTCACTCGGTTAATGAGATTGCAGTCAATGTAAGTGATTAATATTTTACTACAATTTCTAAGCGCCCTTCATAATTTATTGGTGACTACCAGTAGGGTTTATCACTTTTTCCGTGTTGGTTTCGAAGTCTCAGAAAATTTCGTAGAAGTCAACCACATTGTTAGACATAAATGAATTATTCACAAAGAGGTGTGCTTTGATTTAGTCTAGGAGTGCTACAAAAAAGAAAAATACTTTGACGCTCTATATTTGTCCGGTAACAAAGGCAGTATTCGCGGCGAAAGGAACTGTTGATTGACATCTGTAGTGTGTCTGAAGACAGAGTCCACCAGATCAAAAACAGACTCGTCGACCATTCGTTCAGGAACCAAGTCACGAAATCTGAAAACTTTCCGTGAGTGGTATACTTTTACCTAAAAACTGACCGAATGCCTGATCCTATGCTCCACTAGGTGCCCTATGAAAGAGAGAACCTCTGAAATTTGCACGTAATTTTACGCTCTTCAGCGATATTGATCGGCACCCCTTTTAGAAATGTGTTCATTGACAAAACGTATGTATTTGCAACGTTTTATCGCTTTAGAGGTGATTGTGTTATAGGTACTGTTGCATTTTTCAACACATTGTAAAGCTAGAGCTGTTAGTGCAATGCAGATGGTCAATGGATCGATCTCGCACCCCGAGGAACCAAGTTCACCATCTATCCAAATCTGTCTATTAGTACTAGATTTGTCTGAGAAGATAAAAACACCGGCTTAATACAAAGGTAGGACACTTGAGTTCGCTGTTTGGTACAGACATGCATTCCTCAAAGCAAACGATACTTGAGGAAGTAAAGCATGCAAATCCCTAGAGAATTGACAGAATTTAAACTATTTATTCATTAATCATTTTACTGTCACTTCTATTTGCGGACGATTTTTTTCCGCTAAAATAATTTAGCGTAGAAAAGAACGCTCGACCTGAAAGGCAATTCATCAGGTCCATGATATGGTTTGTTGGTATTGAATTTTAAAGTCATCTTTCTCAACGTTTAACTTTTTATTATCTGGCTATTATTTTTCATGGTAGGGAATTATCTAGAAGGCAACCACAATGATGTTGATATATTTACAAAAGCTGGAGCTTAAGGTGAGCTTCACCAGACGGAGTAAAACCCCTACCCTGCCACGAAAAAATTAATAAGAAGGAAATAAAAAGTTAAGTATTGTGATTTCGGTCGCAGTATCAGATTAACGATATTCAAAACCGATTTGTACTCTTTGGATTATTTCAGTTGACGGGAGACTGCTGATGGAAAGGTCACCTGTATCACCTGTAGTCCTGTTGATCGTCGGGAGACTCGAGCGAGCGCCAGTAAGTCTTCCATCTTTCCCTGTCGCGTGCAGGAGTTGCCCAGTGGGATCTGCTCGCTCTAGGGACTCGTCGAGCATCATATCCTTCTTCAAGGCTCTTTGTTAAAAACTCTGACCATCGGGACGGTGGTCTTCCTGCAGTACCTTTGACATTCCAAGAAATCCAGTCACTAACGGCTTTTGTACAACGGTTGTCATTCATACGCCTTACGTCTCCGGTTCACCTTATTTTCGACAGTTTGGCGTAGATATTAGGGCCTTTCGTTTCCGATCGTTGTCTCAGGTCAGAGCTACGGATCCTTTCCCGTACTCATGTGAAACGGGATGCTCACAGCATCGCCCTTTCGACTGAGCGTTCAATAACGGTTGGTGATCTCTCATCCTGCTTACGCAGCTACCAGGTTTCTGACGCATACGTTAGGGCAGGAAGTACCGTTGAGTCGAAAAGGTGGGCACAGAATCGGGTCTTCCTTGCTCTCTTCACTACATCCCCGATGCTCTTGTAAGGTTCCAAAGCCGCTCCTTTCCCTCTGCTCAGCTCTGGAGCTAAGTCTAAGCTAACTGAGCTAAGATAATATTGATTTTCCTGCCATAATAGGCATAACTGGAGCATTCGGAGATATTCCGTTGAACGTTCCGTTGAGCGTGAATGGGGCATACTAAACCAATCCGTTCTTCATGAACATCGTTTCTGTGAGATTTAGTTGAAGACCAATCTTTCCACAGGCTTTATCAAAGTCGGCAAGCATACGTTTTGCTTGGCTGTTTGTTGTTATAAGAACGATTTTATCAGAAAAACGAAGATGGTGTAATTGCCGACCATCAATTTTCACTTCCATGTTGTCCCATTCCAATGTTTGCATGACGCTTTCGGGGGTGGCGGTGAATAATTTTGCCGCGATGGTATCGCCTTGCCTAACCCCTCTTTTGACGTCGATATTAATATCGTTGCAGAGTGGTGATACTTTTTGTGAAATTTTTGTACAGCTCACGAAGAATCTTTATGTACTGAGTAGGGGCTCCGTGATTATCAAGGGCTTACCATGGCTGCTTCTATCTCAATTGAATCAAAGGCCTTCTGTAAATCGATGGAAGTGGGACAGAGCGGTCTTTTCTACTCTCGCGATACCTCAATGAGCCTTGCTATCGTGTGGATGTGGTCCATCGTACTAAATCGTTTTTGAAAACCTGCTTGCTCACATGGCTGTCCTTCGTCTAGTGTTCTGTCAATCCTGTTTAGGATAACTCGAGTGAAAAGCTTGTAGACGACAGACAGCAGGCAGATTGGGTGGTAGTTCCTGATATCATGTAGGTTACCCTTCTTAAGCAATAACACGGTCCAGCTGGTCGTTCACCGACTAGGGACCTTGCATTCGGAAAGGTAAGGTGTGAAGAGCAGAGCAAGTGTGTTTACGAGGACTGGCAGAAGGTTCTTCAGATGTTCTGGTCTTATCCTGTCCGGACCTGGTGCTGTTTGATTTTTCACCGACGAAATGGCATGTCGGATATCGGAAGGGTAGCCGGTGGTACAAGGTATCCATCCTCTTTTATTTCATATGACGGAAGGTGGACGTAGCTATCGAAGAGATCCGAGTAGTATTCGAGAATGATTTTTTCCATTGCCTTAGTGGACCCTGCAACTGTTCCGTCTGGGCGTCGGAGTGCAATCATTTCCGTTTTGTGATTGGCGAAGCTTCGCTGGGCTTTGCAAATGCTCTTTCCAGCCTCTGCAGCTTCGACTATTACTGCTGCGCTTCGCTCATTAAAATCTCCTTTTATAGCCTGTCTGCATTGTTTTGCAAGTTCGGACGTTAGGTCGCGGTTGCCTGCAGCTCGTGTGATCTGGAGACAAACGCCTCTTGATGACTTTCGAATTCTTAGCTTTCATAACGCTAACGTGAAGATGTTGAATGGACCGATCGTATTCCTCGTCGATGTTACCGACAATGGCATATTTCCAACAGCCGACTAATGAATTGAATAAGTCCAAGTTTGCGGTGTTTTTGCGATTTCGGTTTTTTGAATTTAGCGGCTTCTTCTCCTTTTCGCGAGAAAGAGAATCTCGCACGAAGGGGACCATGGTCTGATCCGGCGTAGAATTTTGGGACAACAGCGACATTGGTTAGGCAAAACCTTCTGTTTACTATGATGTGGTCTATTTCGTTATGGTATTCTCCATCAGGAGACTCCCGCGACCAGCGTTGAGGGTGGGGCTTCTGGAATTGCGAGTTACCATGGATTGTCTTGGTCTCCATGATAACTCAGATAGCCGCTCACCCTGTTCGTTCCACTCTAATGCATGGGTCCTAATGTGTCGTTCCTCAGACGTTCTTCTTGGTCCAATCTTGGCGTTGAAATCTCCAATGATAACCTTGAAGAATGTATGATCTTCTCTGTAGAACTTCTCCAAGTCAATATAGAACGCTTCGACTTCTTCTTGGTCGTAGTCTGATGTCGGCGCGTAAACGACGAAAATTGTCAGAGCAGGTACTGATCCACATCTTTCTAATAGTAAACGTCCGATTCGGGTTGTAAGTTGTCCGAATAAATCGATGTTCATGGACAAACTCGAGTTGACGAAAACGCCAACGCCGCCGAGTCCTCTACTGTCGCATGTTCCTTCCGAGAAACAGTTCTTCTCCGGTGTCATGGACAGCGTTGAAAAATCTGGCGTCGTCTCGTCTCGGCCAGCCCGATGATGTCGTGCCTTATTCTTCTTGTTTGCATGAGCATATCTTCTATTGAGGACTCGGTTGCAAGTGTACGTGCATTGTAGGTACAGATGATCACCTTAGTTCTTTGAAATCCAGGCAGCTTTCATTGGCTCTGAGACTTTAGCAGCCTCTCCGTAGTCGTCCTATCCAATGCTGCGAAACTGGGAGCTCTTTCGGAATCAGCGGAATGAGGCCCGTTTTTTTTTTTACTGTGTTTAGCATTTTTGTTGCTCACGTATAGCTTGCTGGGCTCTGAGCGTAGGGGTTGGGTATGCTCACAAGTAGCTTGCCAGGCTCTCCCACAGTGGACATGGAGCTTATTTGTTGGAGGCGACTCTTAACCGGCTCCCATATACTTCCCAATCACTTGATTGCAGGCTTTTGGTCGAATTGACTCGTAAAATACAGTGCGCATAAGCAAGAACGCACTCACACACGCATGCATGAATGCGCCTAGCAAATACACAAAGTATGGGCCAAATCACCGCAGCAGAAGCAGGGAGTCCATCCCTGGATCCAACTGGATCTCAGAGAAGCAAAGGTCGCTTTTGGCCTACTATTAACCCCCTATCCACCACCTAGGGACGCGCCACGTAGCCTCGCGGCTAACCAGCTCGAGACCCCTCATACGAGGGACATCGCTGGAACGATAGAAGGGTCAGGGTTAAAAAAAACTGAAAAAAAAGAAAGGGCCTCAGTGATGCTGCGGCGAACACGTGAGCTCCCAAAAAGAGTGACTGCATGTTCGAAGTTCAACTGCGATTCTCAGTTTTGCAAAAACCTCAGCATCATTGCGGTTGTATTTCATCTCTGTCGATCTCTCTTTCTTTTTATCTAAAATCTCCCATTGACTGACTGGAAAGTTAGCAAAGCGTCCTGAAAAGATAAAAAAAATTGTTCACTTTTGAAGAATTACTAAGGACTGAGGAAGCTTATGAGCTAGCGTCTCAGGTTTAAGAACAACTTTTCAAACTCTTAGGAACGTTCTATCCTTAAATCTATGCTCTGGTAAAAACTTTTGAACTCAATTTATTCAGGTCACTGAATTCACCTTTCGGTGAAGCTTTTTTTCTTCCGAAATGGGTTATCCTTGCCGAGTACCATATCCAACATTCGGTATTTGAATTGCCTTTCTCGTTTCACTTCCCTTATTTTTCCTTGTAACTAAAAACATAAACACTTTCAAGTCGTACATCGCTTAGATTCGAATGAAGTAAAGCCGTGAATATCTAATGATGAAGCTGTTCGAACTTAGTAAAAAATTCCTTCACTCATAAGTTGGAAAGGAGTTACCCTTTTAGTGATTCATTCAAAAAATGGTTATGATTAGATCTTGTGTGTAAATCCAATCTTTTCTTAGTATGGCATGTAACACAGCGAATTTTAAGGAAAACGCATTTTACTTGCTGGAGTTTTGAGTATGATGAGTGCAGAGATTTTCTATCCATCTTCGTTTGATTTCTAGCCGTTCTCCACATCGAACCAATAACATCGGTGATTACCTAAAACGTTTAATGTTATTTAGAATTTTATAACCTACTACTAGTACAAAAAGAACGTGTTTGGTGCAGTGGTCGGAGGTGCCCTGCAACACACACGTGGAATCGATCCCAGCTCACACGGCTCACCAAGCCTTCCACCCCTCCTGGGTCGGCGAAATGGTACCAACCAGACTTGTTTGGGAAAGTAGCAACATTGGCTTGAAGGCTACAGCTATTCATTGTAAGAGCCAGATATGCATTCAGTCACCGCCCAACGGTGCTTAATTAAATAGAATAGAAGGTGCATCCCTCAGAGATTGATCAACGCCGAAAGCTTTATTCTTTTGCTATTCATTACTACCAGCATTTAAAGCTCCCAACGGTTTACCGCCCCATCGTGGCGAGGTGGTGTTTCTGGATGTCGGGTTGCAATGTACAGCGGGTGAATCGTCCACCCGCAGGGTTTCCCAAGCTGAGAAGGAGTCCGGCGTTTCCATAAGGAAGCCTAGCTAAGAGTATACCAATCCGAGGATCCACTACTGTCCTAGGATCAAAATCGCATGGTGGGAAATCTTTCTCTAATCCAAAAAGGCTGCTGCTGTCTATGGTTGTAAAGACCTAGGGCAGACTTTGGCCAAGTTGACCTCGGGATTCCAGGAAACCACAATGGTCTAACCAGCAAATCTCCGAAAAGTGGAGATTATGCTGCTGCCCGCACAACCAGTTAGGACGGGCCATTCAAGTATCACGTATCAAGCAGGTAAGTGTTTGAAGCTAGAACTGCAAGTCGAGGATCACGAAATTCAGTGGACCAGCACGTAACGGCATATGTTGATTTTTCTGATAAGTAGAAGACATTCAGAAAAGCGTGGCTCAGTAGACTCATAGAAAAAATCACGGCTCTACCACCTGAATCACATAAATGATAGAACATTCTTCCCACGTTAGTTCTGTTCAGCACTGAAACTCCTAGAAAAACTAAAACTGAGAATTAAACCTTGGAAATTCCTAACGCTACAGCTGCAATCACAGTCTTGTCCTGTTGAAAAAAATCCCGCTCGTTCAGCTGATTTCATTTTTGGTATGTGAACCCTCATAATGAAAATCGTTGTAAATTGGTTTCGTTAGTTCCGAGAAATGAGAATTTCATCCTGTGATGTACAATAAGAAAGCTTTGTTTTGTTGTTAAAGATTTTCAAATCCTAGTGGCTCATAATCCAATCTGTAAAAACTATTACGACCGTTATGTATTGTTTATTATATACTACGAGCTGAGTAGTGTTGATTTAAACTTGTATGTGACTATTTTTTCGACACCAAATGCATTGAGGTCAATGCATGACGAAGGTTGCGTGTTAATACGGAGATGGCCAGTGAAAATGAACACTCACACCTACTAGAGATGTGTTTCGTGGAATGAGAGCCGGTACTGATTTCATATTTACAGGACGATAATTCCCGCTCTCGCGGTCTAGTCGTTTCGCTTCGGTGATGGCCTCTTCCTAAAGTGAACGACACTCATATATGGCATTTATGGGATTCAGCGTATTTAATAATCGGAACCAAGAATTAATGCAGCGCATAGTGATCGGTCATAGTGTAATCCATTGTATTTGTCGAAGGTCATGGGAGAAATCACAGATAAACAATAATAACGAGCTCATCGAATGTATCCTTGGCGGAATTTTAAAGAATGCAGTTTACTCCACAGGCGTGAATGTGTCTTTGCGGCAACAGTTTGTAGCACTTACGTAATGTTTTTGCGATTACGTCAGCTTAAACAATAAACTGACTAGACGTCCAAACTTCGAACTAGTTCGTGTATCAATGAAAGGACAAACAAACTTCTTGGTTCTTTAATGTTTCGTTTAAAAGCTAAGTTGACGAACTCGTAGCGACTTCCTTCCTTTCTGAAAAAGTCAATAATGAACTATTGCGAGATACTGTAACTCACCGTGTTGTAGAGGGAAAGGACGTTCCGCTTCAGTCGTCGTCGGATCATTCCCTTTAAGTTAATGCGTTTAAGTCTCTTATTTTGTTTCGCCGGCGATTTTCTCTTGCTACGTATATTATTGCGAAAATTGCGCATTCCTTTTAACCTGGTTCTGAATCAAGCTCTTTTTATCATCAGGGAAACAGGAAGAACCATTTTAAAAATACAGATTATGTCGAGCAAGAGATAATTAAAGATCTCCAAAAAGTGTGAAAATCGAAAGAAATAAGTGTAGTATAATGTAAGACACAAACTACGAAAACGAAATGCACAACACAATTGACACACTAATCAATATGTATTCCTTCTTTGATGAGCTTACACGAGGTTGATAATGATATTTATTTTCGGCTAACGATTCGACGTCTTCGTCTTTCCCAGAGCCAATGACCAATAATAAAAAAAATAAAAATAAAATAAAAAATGAAAATAAATAAATGATAATCAGTAGAAATAAATAATCAATAAAAAATAATAAAAAATACAATTGACACAGTTTTCCGAAATATTAGTTAAACGTGTTTTTGATTCACCGTTCATTTCGGAAGCCTGGGAACGCACGAACCATTGCCCTGTAAAAAATTTTATTTCCCTCGAGTTCAAAAATGGGGGCTAAGATCGTAGTTTATGATCCGAGTAAAATTCTGAAACGTGACAGCAATTTAACCATTTATAGTCTTCACGTGGTTGGCTGAAAACTTGTGATTGATGTAGTTATCAATGCCGTTAGCTCGGAGTAGTTCTCTCCTCTAAAAACCTCGAAACCTTACATGAAACTTCGAATGCCACTTTATTTTAAGAATCGGCTAGTTGCTCCAGTTACTAAGAGTATCAGAAAGATTTACACTTCTCGAAAACCAGAAGAACAGGTAGCGCTGTGGTAGTGAAACCTTTGAGAACGTCTCAAGACCCTAATTCTAAACCGTGTTCGGTCGAGGAACTCTTCTATTTTTTCGGGGTCGACGAACCAGTACCAGACTTTCTTAGAAAGCTTACTGTAACCGATAACAACTAGGGACCATCAAACATGGATATTATTGGGTCAGCTTTCGAATGATGGAGTACCGAGTCGACCAGAATCAACGAACTTCATCGAGAAGACGAGATATTCTCAGGCATACTCATATTCTATTTATTTGTCAATCCAAAAGAATGTTGAATACGAAAAAACCAAATCCAGTGGAGAGTGGAGGAATTGCTGTTACCCGCACAATATATGTGGAGACGGGTTATATAGAAAAAAAGAACAAAAATCATGCCATAGCACAATGAATGAAAAAGAAGGAATTGCATACAAGAGAGAAAAAATAAATTACAACAATTTTTTGGTAACATGAAACAGTATTCAAATAACATTAAGCAAGAACATCATATCAAAAAAGCAGATAACTAACTTGAATTTAGGATAGTCCCCGTCGCCTGATGACATTTTCGCTAGCTCTGCTTTCATAAACATTTTCAACTTTGCAGCTTTGCTTCCACCGTCTGAAGCTACAGCAGTTTTCTTTTTCTTTTTGGGGCTTGTACCACGAACATTGGCAAAGTCGTAGTAAGAATAATGGAGCGCGTATGGAAAGGAGGACAGCTGAAACACTGCTTTCACAAAGGCTTGTTGAGCGACATCTTCACCCAAAATATCCTTCTTTGCTTTCAGTATCTGCTAGCTATGTGAACTATTCCACAATTTCTTAATATTCATCGTTGCAGTTAGAGTCTTTGGAGAAGATTTTTAGAAAAAGAGAGACAAAAATTCTCATTGGAGGTCAGAACGAATTCATCCAACTGACCGGGGACTCGGAGAGCTTTTCAAAGGAACACGAGCATACTCGGATGCTTCTAAGAGAAACATTTTTGTTTACCTAGCAACTTACATCAGATTTTTTAAAACGGCAAATAAATATTGAGCTTTTCATACCAATTCTCCATCGAACGCCTTCACGAGGCATTGAGATCCCAATTGAAGGTCATGCTCGTTGTCAATGCTATCCAAGCAAGCCACAAAGGCTCGTCGATTATTTCTAAACTGCATTTCTTCAAAAAAGCTATGTTATAGAAAAGTTGACAAAGCGCCTTGCAATTATTGTTCAGTAGAACATATTTGATGGGACAGCAACCTTGCGTAAAGATTTGATTTGTGCACACAGACAAATTTATTCGAACATTTGCCTTACTTGTATACCGTACTCTTACCGCTCCGGTATCAAAACGCACTATGAACTCATTACCTGTTCCTCGGATTTATTTAAGACCCTTTAAGTAGCCCGACCTTTCAGATGGCCCGGAAAGTACTACGCTCAAATGAGAGCGTTGACGATGGGACTGTAACTGACACCTAGCCTTGCCGTCGTATTTATGTTTAGAGTGGAAGCACCAATAATCGATTTCCCGCCATTATTCTGCTGTAAATAGACAAATGCTTTGTCATTTGCTCAACACAGAAGGAAATAGGCAAATATTCCGTGTTGTTGAACGAACAGTCGTAGTATATTAGTTTCACCCAAGAAAAATTGAAAAAACTGCGTTCTATTTCTAAACGCTCAAATTAGACTGCCCAAAAACGGTAACATTACGAAATGGTACCGAAAGCCGAGTAGTAGAAACATATTGGTTTATTATCTTCCTCTCAACCTTCTCACACGAAAGAGGAGCTTGTAACAAGCATTTTTCAAGCAGCCACCAACGCTTGCTTAGGAAGAGAACAGAAGGAAGCGTCCCGGAAACCGACGAAGCAAATAACCATTTCCAATGGATACGAAACTGTAGTCTATCCTTGGGATAGACTCAGAGAAAAAACCCAAGCACCCAGGCAGCAACTCTAGCGATAATAAGGTCCCGTTTATCCTGCTCTTTATTTCAAATGAAATGAGCGCAGCTACAAAACGTGTCTTAGGAAGGGGCGGTCTAGAAAAATCGGTAACAGTAATTGATACAACCTCCCCAACGGTCTACCGCTTGAACGTGGCTGAGTGTTGGGCTGCGACGTACAGCGGGAGGGTTCATTCCTTCGGTAGAGTCTACCAAGGTAAGAAGGAGTAGGGTGTTTCCAACAGGAAACCCAACTAAAAGTAAACCAATGCCAGGATCCGCCACCGTTTGATATCAGACCAGTCGGGCTGGAAAATCTTCCATGTATCCACAAGGGTGTGGACTGCCTGTGGTGGCGACGACCTGGGTGAGACTTTGACCTGGTTGACGGCGGGACTCCAGGGAACCGAACTGGCTAAACAAATAAAACTCGAAAAAATTGCAGATTGTGCTGGTGATCGGCGCAACTAGTGAGGAAGGGTCATCCTCGTATCCAAGCGCGCAATTGAAATAATACCGGACACTCGAAGACGCCAGTTATTTCGCAACCGCCCCTGTATGGCCGTCTATGTACAACGCGAAATTGCGTAATATGCCGAAACCGTAGACAGGGTGACTGGAAGGGCTCGGGTACGGCTTATCCGATCTCGTGTAAAGCGTGCAGGGATGAATACATTGGCGAAACGGGTAGACCACTCCACGTCCCTGTAAAACAACACCTATTCGGTAAACATAAACTTAAACCAAATGCTCCACTAGGGGCGCACACGACGCGGAATGGGAACGGGAAGGATTTTGAAGTAGAAGTGAACATCCTTGCACAAGAATCAAAAACGCCAGTGCGCAAAACTCTCGAAGCATTCTATTCTGGGTGCACTCCGAGAATCCGAAGATGAATCACATGAATGAATGAATCACAAACTTTCTCATCAGTATTTAAGTCTAATCTTTAAATGTAAGAGAGGCACATTACCCGCCTATGTGAACTCGGTGTGGTTTCACCCAGTGGTAAATACTCGGTGAAAAACTCATATAAAACGGTGAGCGTGCAACGAAGGTATTCCGTGTTTAATGTGATTAAAATCTTGGTTCAGCATTTTCTCTGTTTAGCTGGGTAGATTGCGCTTAGCTTGATCCCTCCAGGATCTGAGGAAGGCGAAATCTGTCAAAACGTCGGCTTCTCCGTCAATAAGGAATAAAATAACAACTCGTGTTTGCTCAACAACAGTATAAAGAATTATTGGATAAATGCAAAGGTTAATAGAAAGTTGTGTGAATTTTTTTAAAGAGTGATTAAGTATTTATTATTTTCCAAAAATTCTACAGAGTGTGTCGTTTTCTTGCTCAGCAATCGCGAGGTTTTTAAACAGCATACATTTACTTCCATAAAGAAAACACAATACAATACAACACTAGCTGACGTTTCGGCAGTATCGCCTTCTTCAGAGCCTGGAAGGGTATACTGATATACAAT